AGGATCGTGGGCATGTGTACCCCCACCATGTATAGCAAGGACCCACCAACTTTTCTATGTGGGTCTAGCTACACCACCACCTCTTCCCTTCATTGCACTTTTTTGTTTTGAAGGATTCACTGTTAGTTTATACACAAAAACAAACAGCAAGTAGCAGAAGTAATGAACATCAGGGCAACATCAATGACCCTGGTGTTTGATGTGAGGCATTTCTGTGCTCCAGTTTTCCACTACTCTGCCCACTAGCCGTGAGTCCTGAGACAATGTACTTAACCCCCTTTTTGTTGCAGTAAAATACACATAAAATTTGCCATGTAACCATTTTCAAGTGTATAGTTCAATGATACAAGAATATTCACACTGTTGTACAACCATCATCACCATTCATTTCCAGAACCTTTTCATCATCCCAAGCCAAAACTCTGCTCCCATTAAGCACAAGGCCCCATTCTCCCCTTCTTCCTGTCCCTCCCCCTAGCCCACTCTACTCTGTCTCTGAATCTGACTACACCAGGTACCTCATAAATGTGGAATCATACAAGTCCTTTTGTGGTCTGGTTTATTTTATTCAACATACTCTCCTCAAGATTCATCCACATTGTCACATGTATCCGCCTGTATTGATTTTCTTTTCTTTTTAGGCCTGAATAATATTCTACTTCAACCTTTTTAAGTTTCAGTTACTTCCTCTAGGGAATCTTCCTTTTCTTCTCCTTCTTTTCTTCTTCTTTTCTTCTTCTTCTTCCTCCTCCTCTTTCTCCCCCTCCTCCTCTACTTTCTCTTCCTCCTCCTTTTTCATCTTCTTTTTTTGTTTTTCTTCCATGAGAGACAGATACAGAGAGAGACAGGTGTGCCAATAGGGTCTTTATGACATGACCCACTGCCAGTCTCAGCTAGCTCAGATCATTGGCATGCATGAGCATGTGCTTAGCATTCTCAGGGAGGCCCTAGGACATCAATCCAAGACATTTCCTAGTTGGGTTACAGTTGCACAATTGGTCCCAAGTAGCCAATTTTTCAAAGGTCGCTGCAAGGATTTACTGAGGTCATGAAAATGATGGACCCATGTTCAGCACAGTGCTTTGAATCATGACAGATACTATTCAGTTTCCTCTTTTTTCCAAACTGTAAATTTTATAAGGACCAGGGCAATAATTATGCCTTTCTCATTTCCATAGTTGCTTGTGTCACACATTAGTGAGTGCTCGATAATTATTACTGTACTGCACTTAATTGAATTGAAGAATTTGTTACTTAGTAAATTAGAGATCAGCTCCTAGAGTTTCAGCATTATAAAAATGATCGTCTCTTTCACATTTCCCCACTACTCCTGCCCCTATAGGTCAACAACATAAAGAAACTAACAGGAGGCCCTTATGACTCAGGAAAACAAAGTTGATGTAATACACTAAGGTTTGGATTTCTAGCAGCTTAGGAGGGAGAGAAGGTTGGGCAGTCATTGGATACATTCAAATAACAAGGTCAAGCTGAATGAATCAAACCAAGTAATAACCCTGTTTTCAGTTTTCTTAATTCATTATTATCCTTGGCCTACGTCAATTAGAGTCAATCACTGTGGAATTAATTATAGTACTGCTTCTTGCTATCAACAATGTATTCTGTGGTCATTGCAGTAGTAGTATGGGCAAATTGATAATTCAGTTGAAAGTGTGATGTGGTTGTTCAAAGGCAATCCATTCTTAAGGGAAACCTTGAATGATGTTGATTTTGTTGTAAACATAACGTCATCCATGAACTTTCCAGGACAGAGATCAAGGGGCAGGAATTCAACTCAAAATTCAGCTCTGTGACAAACGGTTTAACTTCTTTCAGACTAATTTCCCCCATTGGTAAAATATTCATGAAAACAAATGGCTTGCCCCATCCTCTTCTTTAAAGAATTATTTATTTGGGGGCTGGCAGTGGCAGGCTGGTTAAGGGCACTGGATTCCCACATGGCTGACTATGGTTCGAGTCCCAGACCTGGTGGCTTACTTTATCACTTTCCCTCTCTTTTGTTCTCTCTCTCATTCTATCTCTCTCTGGTCAAATTAAAATAAATAAATAAAGGTAAATGAAACAATTCTTCTTAAAAAATAATTTTGTATTTCATGTATTATTATTATTATTATTATTTTAATTTGCTATAGGGTATATGCACTCAACAGAGAGAGAGAAAAGTGAGAAAGCAAGGCACCAGGCCCAGAACTCAAACTGCAGTTGGCCATGTGCGAGTCCAGCACCTTAACCACCTCACCACTTGCTAGCCTTGCACCATCTTTTGATTATTCAAATAATATTTTTTCCAAACCTCTCTCTTCCCAGAGCTCCTCAAAAGATTGTAATTTTACTGCAGTAAGCTAAATGACACCATTGATTTGATTTACCTGTGCAGAAAATGGCAAGGTCAGCCTGCTTTGAAGCAGTATGCAAACCATCTGATACATGAGCAACCCTCTTAGCTTTAAGGGTTAAAGACAGCTTCTCACCTTCCCACAACTGGAGAGGTGGGACCTTTCTGCTGTTCTGTCCTGACAGCCGCCTGTCCAGAACACAAGTAAAACAAGGTGACTGTCATCTCGACCAGGAAAGGTGTGCTTTAGGAATGAGTGGCAGGACGTCAGTGAAAATGAGTGGAAAGAGGGCAGCCAAAGCCTGGATTCCTCAAGCCCCTGTCCCTGTGCTGCATTCCTTCCAGCACCAGCGATGCAGCCCTGACACATCAGCTTCTCCAGAGATTGGCCTTCTTGGCCTATTCTGTTAGGAGAGGATTGATCATCAATGACAGTGTTTTTAGCATCTAGAGGTGTGCATTTGCTTTCCTTATGTAACCACAAAATAGTGGCTAATTTCTCTCATGGAAACAAGAGTGACAGAGTTGGTACTGCCCTTAGAATGATGTATGAGCTCTTATTCCGAGAATGTACTTGATGAACTTAGTCATGACAGACACATTTCTGACTTTTTCCTCTCTCGCCCTTTTTTTCAACGCCACCCTTCCTCATTTTGTTGTTTTTGTTTTTGTTTTTTCCCCCTCCGTTTGGAGATAGAGAGATCAGATCAGGCACAGCAGAGAGTGACAGGAAGTAAGTGTGCCCCGCTATCAGGGCTGGGTGTTTTCAAATGCCTGGGCTCCACCTGTGTGACTTTTTCTTCCTTTCTTTTTGAAAGTAAACACAGCAGGATGTGCCCTCACCAATTACTGAGCACAGCAGAAATACCGGAACTGCTGGGCTAACGAATATGACTTCAAAGGACAGTGGCAGGGCGTCCCCACCTCCCTGCTAGCCCTTGAAGGGCTGCACTCTCCTTAGGAGAGCAGTTCACGGGTGGCTCCAATGGAATAGTTCCTGCCCAGTTCATGACTTTCCTTAGTGCTCTGCAGAAGGAACTGTACATGGAAGAACACATAGCAGTGCGGTTTCCCTCCACTTTGGGGCCTTCTGAACCCAAGCAGATTCACTTTATCTTATTTTATCATTTCATTATTCATTCATTCATTCATTCATTCATTCATTCATTCATTTATTTTACTATAGAGCATGTGCATTTGTCAGAGAAAGACAGAGAGAGAGGGAAAGTGGGAAATCACCCTCTGAGAGTGATTCTACTCCATTGTTCTCGTGGGAAGCTCAATGCCTTTGGGTATGTACACAAGTATCCTGTATGTTTTTCAAGTTTCTGGGCCCAGCCAGGACAGTCACCATCCTGTCAACCATGTGAGATCCAGTGTATCAGCCGCCATTCCACCTGCTGGACCTATTTTATTATTTTGTTTTAATTTATTTGGCAGAAGCCATGAAAAAAGGACAACCTTGGTGTAATTGCCTTGCACCTTATGGATTACCTATCTTTCTGGTGTATTCCTAAGAATACCTAAGGAAAGTGTGATGTAGTAAGCCTTTATTACCCCTGTTCTTTTTAATATAAGAATTTTAATAATTAGAAGCACAAAGCAGGAACGCGACTCTCTAACAACAAATTCCGCATTAAGCTGATCTTTTGACATCCTAATATGTGCCCCTCGGTGCTAGACTCTGACATCAAAAATTGGGTGATCAAGTTCACGAGACAAGCTAGCTGCAAATAGCAGTTTGTGTTCAAATTGCTGTTATCACAGAAGGTAAACTGTTAGCCCTAACACTGTGACACTATATTGTAGCTTATTCAGATCTCTGGTTTTTACATGTATATGTTTTGTATTTCCCACTAAAATTCAAGCATTTAGAGGATGAAACTTAGATCTTTCACCAGCCCTTGCCTATGATTGATATCCAATGTGTATTTTTTAAATTTTAGAATTATTTAATTTGAAATTTATCATCATCATTATTATTATTACTTTAATTTGACAAGAGAAAGAGAGAGGGGAAGTGAGAAAGCTAGCTACCAGGTCTGGGACACACATTGTCATCAATGTGAGAGATCAGTGCCTTAACCACTATGCCACCTGCCAGGCTCTGTATTTTTGTTTTATTATGATTTCAAGTCTATGTATATTCATTGCACATCTTTGTGGGGTACAATATGGTTTTTCAAAGCAAGCATATAGTGTATCATAATCAAAACAAGAATGTGGACATATTCATTCAATATTACATTATGTTGTGCATATTTGCACCTTCAGGCACATTTGTGTTGTGCACATAGATCTATTATTTTTTGTAGGTGTATATCGAATTGTCAACAACATTTTTACTCTGCTGTGGCACGCCATTCCCTAACCTATTCTTCTACTTGTTTACACGTATTCTTTTGTCTACTAATCATTTTTTCTCAGCCCTCCCTGAGTATTTATTGCGTGAGCATTATTATTAAACAGAGCATTTCTGGGGAGTTCCTATAATACCATAATGCAGAGCTGTTTCTTCAAGATGGCAGATTTCTGTCTATAAAGGCATTAGCCTCAGAACAATGGGGAGCCTAGCTACCAACCCTGGCAAGTCCTCACACACAAGAACGCTGGGACTGAAACAGACTGGACAGATGAATAGCTACTCCCTCATTTTACAGGCAAAGAAGCTGATACCTCCCAAGAGATTAAGTGATTTTCCCAAGTTAACCAGTTCCTCATCAAGCTTTGTTTTGGCTTCATCATTCTTAATGAAAAGACAAGAAGTGGCCCCAGTTAGAGCCGTGGTCCATCTGTGCAACCCAGGCTCCTGCCTCTGACAGAGTCAAGGGACATGTTGAAAAAGGTATGCTTACTTTCCCTGACCTTAAACTTCATAGTGCAGAGCTGCTTTGGGCTGAGCCTTTTCACAAGTTTATATAGAAATCAGAAACTACCCATAGTAAACAGTATATGTACATTGTGTGGAAAAGGGAAACCTTTGAGGTGATTTTAGCGTACAATGTCAATATAAGAAGAATAATCAGAAAGAGAATGCTAGCTAACAATTTTTAAATCCTTACTCAAAAGGGAAAATAGGCTTGTATTATAGCAGGAGCACTTTTGTTTAGTTTTTGTTTTGTTTTGTTTTGTTTTGTTTTAAAGATCAAGAATAGTTCTCTGTAGAATTCATCTTAAACTTAGTAACATTCATACGATACTCGCCTAAGTTCCATTTTTGTAGAGTCACCAGATGAATGAATTATTAGCTGAGTGAGAGAGCATTTTGTTTTTGATGAGATATTTAATTAAATGGCTCGTAATACTCCCACTAGGAACATAAAAAATATCTAAAAAGCAATGATCATTTTAAATTGAAGAAAAAGGAGTCTTTCGTGGCAGGTCACAGAATTCTGTACTTGATTTGCCCTAGTCATCCTCATTTATACAAGCAAATGTCCTTCATGAAGACTTAGAAACCAGGCCAAATGTATAGCTGACTTCACACAACTGGAAAGATTAATAGAGTGTAGAGCTGAGATGATTACATTGACCAGAAATCTACACAAAGACCAAACTGAGAACTAAGTTTGGTAAAAGCCTTTATCTAGATTAAACAATTTAACTGGCTGAGGACAGGTTGGGGAAAATAAGACTTTAGAACATGATGGTAAACAGGATTGAGGAATTTTAGTGCATTCCTATTTGAATTAATAGTAGTATGCAGGGGACCAGAGCAGATGGCATAATGATTACATTGCTGGACTCCCAACATGACCAACTGCAGTCCGAGTCCTAGACTCGGTGGCTTGAAACTCATGCCCCGCACATGTTTGTGCATGCCCAAAAATCTGAAAAGAGAAGCAATTGCGGTGTGGCCATCCACCTTGGGGGATGATTTCTAAATTTCTTTCTCTCTGTCTCTTCCTGTTTCTCTAGTGAGCGCATAAACCCTATAGCAAACATCTCACTTAGAAACAAAAAAGTAGTATGCAGTTTTCAAAAAAGTCATTTTATTGTTAATCTACATTGATGAGCCTTTCGTGGGTCATAGAAATTCATCCTGTTGATCAAATAATATCTGGAGAGTACTGATCATTCTGGACATGTTTTGTAAGCATTTAGACACACATGAAAAGATGTTCAGTAAGGTCTGGTCCTATAACCTCATGGTTAAGAAAGTCACATGGACAACCATGGTTCAAATTCTTGTATTATAGCAGGAGCACTTTTGTTTAGTTTTTGTTTTGTTTTGTTTTGTTTTGTTTTAAAGATCAAGAATAGTTCTCTGTAGAATTCATCTTAAACTTAGTAACATTCATACGATACTCGCCTAAGTTCCATTTTTGTAGAGTCACCAGATGAATGAATTATTAGCTGAGTGAGAGAGCATTTTGTTTTTGATGAGATATTTAATTAAATGGCTCGTAATACTCCCACTAGGAACATAAAAAATATCTAAAAAGCAATGATCATTTTAAATTGAAGAAAAAGGAGTCTTTCGTGGCAGGTCACAGAATTCTGTACTTGATTTGCCCTAGTCATCCTCATTTATACAAGCAAATGTCCTTCATGAAGACTTAGAAACCAGGCCAAATGTATAGCTGACTTCACACAACTGGAAAGATTAATAGAGTGTAGAGCTGAGATGATTACATTGACCAGAAATCTACACAAAGACCAAACTGAGAACTAAGTTTGGTAAAAGCCTTTATCTAGATTAAACAATTTAACTGGCTGAGGACAGGTTGGGGAAAATAAGACTTTAGAACATGATGGTAAACAGGATTGAGGAATTTTAGTGCATTCCTATTTGAATTAATAGTAGTATGCAGGGGACCAGAGCAGATGGCATAATGATTACATTGCTGGACTCCCAACATGACCAACTGCAGTCCGAGTCCTAGACTCGGTGGCTTGAAACTCATGCCCCGCACATGTTTGTGCATGCCCAAAAATCTGAAAAGAGAAGCAATTGCGGTGTGGCCATCCACCTTGGGGGATGATTTCTAAATTTCTTTCTCTCTGTCTCTTCCTGTTTCTCTAGTGAGCGCATAAACCCTATAGCAAACATCTCACTTAGAAACAAAAAAGTAGTATGCAGTTTTCAAAAAAGTCATTTTATTGTTAATCTACATTGATGAGCCTTTCGTGGGTCATAGAAATTCATCCTGTTGATCAAATAATATCTGGAGAGTACTGATCATTCTGGACATGTTTTGTAAGCATTTAGACACACATGAAAAGATGTTCAGTAAGGTCTGGTCCTATAACCTCATGGTTAAGAAAGTCACATGGACAACCATGGTTCAAATTCCAGTCTCTTGGTATCAGCAAATTGAAAACCTCACCAGGCATGTGTGCTTACATGCCCCAAGTCCCAGCAGGATAGGGGAAGAGAAGGGATTATGACATGGCCATGCCCCACTGGGAAGATAGTGCTTTCTCACTATCTCTCTCTCTGTCTCTCTCTGATGAACACATGTGCCCTCTGGCAATAAAAAAAATAATAAAACAATGCTCAATATCATTTGTCATTAAGGAAATGCAAATGAAAACAAGGAGCTATACTTCACACTCACTAGGTTGGCAATTGCAAAAAAGAGAATAAGCATTAGCAAAGTTGTGGAGAAATTGAAACCCTCGTGCATTGCTAGTGGAAGTGTAAAATGGCAGAGTCACTGTGGATAACAGTATGGAGCTTCCTCAAAAAGTTAAACATAGAATTACCATATGATCCAACAATTTCATTCTTAAGCATACTCAAAAGAATTGAAAATAAAGACTCAGATGCTCATAAACCAATGTTCATAATAGCATTATTCACAATAGTCAAAAAATAGAAACAATCCAAGTGTCCATAAACATATGAATGAACAAATAAAATGTAGCATATCCACAAAACAATATTATTCTACTTTAAAAAGAAGGAAATTCTGACACATGCTGCAACATAGATGAACTTTGAAGATATTATACTAAGTGAAATGAGCCAGATGTGACAGGACAAATATTTTATAATTCCATTTTCTTGTGGTACCAAAAATATAAAATCAAGAGACACAGAAAGTAGAACAGTGGTTACCAGGAGGAGTGGGAGGAAGGGGAGAATGAGAAATTGGTGTTTAATGGGTAGATGAGCCCTGAAATGATAGTGAAACAAATGTTAAGTTCAACAAAAGGGAAGTAGGGCTCTTATGATTAAATTCATTAATATTTCTTCTCTAGTACTAGAAAATCATCACTTGATGCTTAGTTACGTCACTCTCAGTTCTTAGAAATAAATCCATGGGGCCAGACAATGGCACTGGTAATGTAACTGGACCCACATGGGGAACTCCCTGTTCATGTAGAACATGCATGTGTGTTCCCATGTTTTAGGCTGACTGAGACTGGGAATAGATTGGAGCCTGGTGACCCTATTGGGTGTGCTCTCTTTTTCTATAATCCCATCTTTCTCTTTGAAGAAATTAAACAAGAAAATTTAAGTAAACACAGCCACTCCCATAGTTCAGCAGTTAAGGGAGCCAGATCCCATATGGCCAACCATGTTTCTTTTTTCTTTCTTCCTTTCTTTTTTTTTTTTTTCTTTTTGAGAGGTTTTTGCAATAGGGCACATGAACTTGCCAGAAAGACAGAGAGACAGAAAGTGAGAGATCACTCCCCAGTAGGGGCTGGCCACGCTGCAATCCCTTCTCCACCATTCTCCTCTCAGGATCTTGGGCATGCATGCACATGCACCTGATGTGAGTTTAAGCCACCAGATCCAGGACTTGAACCACGATTGACTACATGGAAGTCCAGTGACATAGCCATTACGCCAACTACTGGTCCCGGCCAATCATTTTTCAAATGCCAGCCCTGTTGCCTTGAAAGTCATGCCAGGCAGACACAGCCCTCAGAATAAACAACTCTGCCAACACCTTTATATCATTTCTAACCTTGAGGACTGTCAGGAAATAAATTCCAAGAAGCCATTTTAAAGCTGAGAAGCCATTTTAAAGCTGAAGTGTGTCCTAGCTTGTTCAGAGAAGCTATGCTCTAGGCTCCATCTCCTAGACTCCCGAAATATTCAGACAAGAAGCCATTTTAAAGCTGAGATGTGTCCTGGTGTGTTCAGGAAAGAAATGTCAGGTTACTTATAAAGGTTATCCAGTCAGGTTAACCTCAAACCTCTCATCAGAAATAATGCGAGCAAGGAAAGAATGGGAAAATATATTCAAAGTGTTAAGTGAAAAACAGTTTCAACCAAGAATACTATACCTGGCAAGATTATTTGAAATACGGAAAGAAAGGATAAAAACATTCTCAGATAAACAAGACCTGAAAGAATTTGCCAATAGCAGACCCACTCTTCAAGAAGTTCTGAAAGGAGTGCTCTACCAGGAAAACTAAAGATACATATAGAAATAAGAGAACAAAAGGCTACCAAGAAACTGACCAATTTAATGTAAGGACAAGAAATATCAATAATAACATTGAATGTTAACTTCCAGGATTTAAACGGAAAGATTGGACCACAGTAACATTGCATATTCAACAGAAGAGAGTTTGAACATAAGACTGAAATCACGAAATGGAATTTTATGACTTTTGAGGAAAACATTACTGATTTCTTCTTTTAACTATGCTTTGTTTTCTCAATTTAAGCATTTTACTTTCTTTTCAGTTATTGATGGGTTCAACAATTTGTTAAAATATTTTTATTATTTGTTTCTTTAAATAGAAACATAAACTTTTCTCCCTTCCTGACCCTTCTTGAATTGGAAATATTTGAGAATATTCTTATTTTGTGGCAGAAGGGTTATTTGCATAAGTTCAGTAATGCTTGTTACATTGAATCAGAAATCGGAAATACTCATTATT